CAGCGGCGCAGGCGGCGTGGACCTGCTCGTCGCTCTCCCCGTTCAAAAGGCTTTTCCTTTAGGTCCTGAGTTCAAGTCCTCAGGGAGACACGTACTCTAGTAACGGGGAGTATTCTTCTTGGGGCATGGGTAGAAGAGCCCAATACCAGGTTTTATACGAAATGACCCAAACTGTAACTACCCAAGCTTTTTGCTTAGGTCTAAGGTGAAGTCAAAGCCGGTCACATTCATTCATTCCAATAAAACAGAACAAGCAAAATCCCTGCAAATACTGAGCCAGTAATATGAGCTCACCAATTTTGGTGACTGTGGATTCAAAGTAGGTCACCGGGATGAGCGCAGACAGACCCTCCCTCCTGGGAACTCCAGTCCAGGCAGGCTTCACAGAGGAGACAGGCGCAGAGAGCCATGGGCTCAGGGGAGGGGAGCCCTATTCCTTTTGTCTGGATAATCTGAGGAAGGCTTCACAGAAAGCACACTGTGAGCTGGATCTTACATGATGAAACTACAGAGAAGAGGGAAGACATCCAGGCAGAGCAAAGGACATTTGCAAAGGCATGGAAACACGGAAGAACTTGGTTTGGTGTAGGCAGAATTAACAGTTTTGCTAGAGTATAGGGTTCAAGAGGGTGGAAGGGAGTGTCTGAGGCCAGAAGGCTTTGCTGGCCCAAACAGGAATCATATAAGGGGTAAGAAACCAAAAATAATGTTATTACTAATTATCGTTAACATTAAGTGCTCACCACGTGCCGGGCACCGGGCTAAGTTCTCAGTGAGCATTGTTCCATTTGACCTTCGTGGCAGCTCCGTGAGACTTCATATTGTCCCCTGTGGCATACCAGCGGGAATGGGGGTGGGAACAGTTGGCCAGGTGTAGGCAAAAGGAGTGCATTGTCCGCAGGAAACTTCAACGCAATAATAAAACCAACTCAGATCAGTCTGCTTTACATTAGCTCCGTTCTAAGCAGTGCCAGTGATAAAGCCCTCCTCCCTGCCAAGGCAGATGGCTCCCATACGCTCCCTTCCACAGACGAGGAAACGGCAGGCTAATGGGCCAGGTGGGCCTGCTAACGCTGGTAGCAGTCTGGGGGAGGGACTGGAGGAGCAAAAGAGGCCGGAGCCCAAGAGACAGGCTAGGAAACTATTCAGAAATTTAAGGGAGAGTGGTAATCAGGATTGGGAAAAAGGTCATATTCAAGAGATTTTTTATGGCATAGAAATGACAGCGCTTGGTAAGCAGTAAGAGAGGAGGGGATAAGGTAGAGTCTCAGGTGATTCTGAATTTTCTGCTGTAGGGGAGAAGATTGTTGGAGACACTCTTGCACTGATTCGGGAGTCAGGAGGAGAGCAGATTTAGCATTTAAAGATCATGTGTTCAGTCTGAAACACGTGTGGTTGAGGTGCCTGTGGGAGCTCCAACTGGAGGAGTAGACTTGGTCAAGCTGTGGGGATTTGGGCAGGAATTATCAGAGGTGGGTGCTAGCTAGAATCTCCTTAGTTATAGCTCAGACCTTCTGCTCCCTCCTTGAACCCCAGAGCTGATCATCTCCTTCTGAGCTCTCTGCACCCCTGGATAAGAAACCTCGTGGATTAATGATTTACCTTTGGTGTTTATGTTAGCATTGGTATATAAGCGTAATAGGCAACATTCAAAATATTTAATAACTCACATGGATGGGAATGGAACATCACAACAGACACCTGCCTTCCCAGTGGAACAAGGCTTAGGGCCCCAGCTGTTCCAGGTTTAGAAGTACAAAAGAGTGTGAAAAGATATTATAATACATAAAACCAACAAAAGAGCATCCAAAGTATATAATTAATACCTGTACATTAATAAGAAAAAACATTCTAATAGAAAAAAATTGGCAAAGACAACAAAATTGCTTTTATAATAGATGCTACATGAATGTCCTGTAAACATAAGAAAATATATTAACCCTTTGTGGTCGTATTAAATTTGGACATGGGTGTCGTACTGGTCGGAATTAAGAGCTTTCAGAGAAATTATGAACTGATACATGAATGAATAGAGTGAAGATTCGTACGGTTCCTTGCTGTGGTGGCTGAGAGCAGACATACGACCCGAACAGTAAAAAAGCTTTGATGGCTGAGAGTAGACAAACGACCACAAAGGGTTAAATCTCATTACTAGTGTCTGGAACTTGGGGAGGTCTGAGTCTGTCCAGAGGGAAAGGCCAGGATGGCCAGGGTACCAGAGGGAAAGAAAGGGGGTCCACTGTGGAAATGTTTCAATATTTTAGGAACCGATACAGCCGTGGTATTGTGTACCACTGAATGTCAGCCCTGAATATCTAGTTTATTGAGTGCCTGTTGACACATCAGACTCAGGCTCTCAATCCTGTAGAGCTGGAAATCCATCTTTTTAATATATCTTTATTGATTTCAGAGAGAGGAAAGGAGAGGGAGAGAGAGATAGAAACATCAGTGATGAGAGAGTCATTGATTGGCTGCAGCCCGCAACCCGGGCATGTGCCCTGGCCTGGAATCGAACCCCAAACGCCTGGGTCCTAGGTCAAAGCTCAACCGCTGAGCCATGCCCAGCTGGGCTGGAAATCTATCTTTTTAAAAAATGAACCAAGTAATAACGCAGCATTTCTTCTGTACTAGCAGTAAAGAGATAACTTTTTAAATAATAATTTTTATTTTTCAATTACAGTTGACATACAGTATTATATTAGTTTCACATGCATGAACCAGTGATTAGACATTTATATAACTGACAAAGTGATCGCCACAATAAATGTAGTACCCATCTAACATCATACATAATTATTACTATATTGCTGACTGTATTTCCTATGCTGTACTTTATATCCCCGTGACTTTCTGTAACTACCAATTTGTACTTCTTAATCCCTTCATCTTTTTCTCCCTTCCCCTTAAACTCCCTCCCATCAGGCAATAGTTAAAATGTCCTCTGTATCAAAATGTTCTCTGTGTCTGCTTGTTTGATTCTTTTGTTTGTTAGATTCCACATATAAGTGAAATCATATGGTATTCTCTGTCTGACTTGTTTCACTTAGCACAATACTCTCTAAGTCCATCCGTGTTGCTGCAGATGGCAAGATTTCAGCCTTTTTTGTTTAGTTTTTAGTGGCTGGATCATATTCCATTGTATGTATGCACCACCTCTTCTTTATCCATTTATCCATTGATGGACACTTAGGTTGCTTCCATATCTTGGCTGTTGTAAATAATGCTGCAGTGAAATATGGGTGCATGTATCTTTTCAATTTAGTGTTTTGGGTATCTTCGGATAAGTACCCAGAAATGGAATTGCTGGGTTCCTCATTGCCTCTTATTATAGCTTTTGTTTTAAAGATCTTTGCTCTCTAGGCCTCAGATCCCTGGTCTCTGAAATGGAGAGAGCAACAATGATTTTTCAGGATTAAAGGAGCCAATGCCTGTAAAGTGCTTAGTGCAGTGCGTGGGCCACTGAGAGTGCTCAGTGGACATTGTTAGCTCTTTCTTTATGATCACTATTGTCTATTCACTACATGGGCACTGCCTGGTGCTCTGGACCTCTTTGATAAGCTAGGAGTCAGTGAGTAACTCCTTTTGGTTCATTTGTATCTTAACTGGGGATGGCATTGACTCAAAGTTTTATAATTGAGAATAGACTTTGTGACATTCACTATAGGCCCTTGGGGGTGAAACTATGAAATCAGGGCCTTCCCCTTCTCTCCCCCTTTCTTACCAAGACCACCTCCGTTTAGTTAGAAGTAGAGGAAGACAGACATGGAAACTGCAGTAAAAGCTTGAGCCCGATTAGGGGAGGTTAGAGCAGTCAGAGGACAGTTCAAGTGGGGGCCCAGTGTCCACAACCCTAAGACCCAGGCCC